TATCGTCATCTGTAGTGATTTTTCTTGTTGTTCCTGGAGGTGTTTTTATTACTATAAGTGTATAGGTCGCGGAGTCTGCCAGCAGAACTGCTTTCGACGGGAGGGAAGCTCAGACGAGCCGACAGGCAGACGGTCAGCGGAAAGACGACGGCCAATGGACGATCTAGCAGGGCATGTCTGTATTATCTGCGTGAGCTGTCGGGTGTTGCAGTGGTGGTGGTGGTAGTAGTGGTAGTATTATGGCTGTGATGCTGTTGTTGTTGTTGTTGGTCGGGGGAGAGGGACATGTCGCGGAGGAAGAGGAGGAGGAAGCGAGAGGGACGAGCGAGCGACGAGAGAGAAGAAGAGGACTGGACGGAGCAAGAGAAGACGAGCAGGAGAAGAAGAAGAGGAAGACGAAGACGAGAAGAAGAAGAGAACGAACGCTTGCGAAGGGCTTAGGGGGTGAAGCAGGCCAGCCCAGCGCGGCGGGAGCGGAAGAAGACGAGCAGCAGCAGCAGCAGACGATGAAGCCCCTGAAAGCGCGTATCCGTAATACAGATACATGCACTTTGCCCACGCTAGCAGGAAAAAGCAAAGACGCTCGTCTCTTTTTCTGAGGTTGATGAAGCCGTATCTTGTTGATTATCTCGGTCGAAGTAGATGAGAAGCGTAGACGTTGTAGACGTTGTGTGTTATTGCTGTGTTATTGCTGTGTTGATGCGGTGGTTGGAGTCTGGACAATTGGTAGCATTTGGCTACAGCAGCAGCAACAAGCAGCAGCCAGCAGCAGCACGCAGAGGCTGGCGATCGTGGGCCGTATATTTACTTCGACTGCTAAGAGGAGCTAATTACCAGTGGCTACGATGAGGCTTGGGCCGTTGGACATGCTCATCCTGACCGTCGGATCGAAGCCTCTCAGCGGCCTCCACGACTGCGCGCAGGAGCAGGGAAGACAGCAAGAACAGAGCAGCGAGTCGGGAGTCTTCTCTCTCACGGCCTCTCTTATACGCAAGCATATGTAGCATGTTCGTGTGTGAGTGTGTGTGTGTCTTGTTTATGCTTATACTTCCCCCGAAGAACGAATGCAGCCTGAAGGACGGGGGAAGTCAGGCACATCTGCAGCAGAAGGGCCACCCACAAACCACACACGATCACCGGAGGAACCCATCACCCATCCTTTGCTAAGTGGAAAAAAAACGAAGAAAACCACCAGTCTCGTCGAGGGAGAGGGGATGGGGGGGAGGATGGTACTCCGTAGTGGAAGGGGAAATAACTTCCCGAGCACCTTAGATATCACATCACATCCATGGCCGTGTGACATATCTCAGTCCTCGTTGCTCGTCCCTCTTCTCCTGCTAGGCTGCTTCTCGTGCCCTCCGTCTATCTCTTGTCGGTGGTGGCTAAAATAATCTTATTCAAGTGGTGTGTTTTTTTGGTTGCTTTTTCCGTCCTGTTGCTCTGCTGCTGCGTCCTTCCTGCACGGCAGCATCATTATTCTGGACCATCTCTTAGTCTTCTTCTTCGTCCTCGTCCTCTTCTCTCCCTCGAAAAGAAAAGAAAAGAAAAATAAGCAAAGAAGGGGAACAAGAAACTGTCCCATCCATGGACGGCCCCAAGTGGAGAACAAGGCGTGAAAATGGATCTATAACAAATACGCAGTTATTAATCTTACTTCTGCTTCTGCTTGTTCTTATTTTATTATGATTCTTATTCTCCTGCCACAGCGTGCTCGCAAGGGAAAACCCTATTGTGCAGCCAATCGAGGAGATCAGGACGTGGGAGGAGAAAGCCACTCGAGACAAGGAGGCAGACCCTAAAGGGACAGACAGGAAAAAGACAGGCACAAATAGGAAGAAGCGCAACTTACTTACCCAGCACAAACAGGAAACAGTTCAGGACTGTCCAGGACAGGACAGACAGGGCCCTGACGGTCTCGTAACGGCGTGGCCTGGCCTTGCTAGCTGTATCGAAACAGAGCAGATGAATGGGACGGTGGAGATCCGGGAGGGAAGGGCTTCGCTTCCTCCCTTCCTCCCGTCCATTTATCTCTATTTTATTTGCATTTTGCCCTTTTTCAAAATTTTTTTTGCGTCCCTTCTCCATTTCTTCTCGTTCTCGTTCGTCCATCCGCTTCCGTGGGCCAGGCAACTCGAAGAGAGACTGCATGTCTGGTTGGCTCATTTCGTAAATATACCGTTGAAACGACTTGAGACACACACGATACCTCTTTGTTGCCGGTCTGCCCCTGTGACTCTTTCTTCTTGATGGTTGATTAATGCTGTTTTTAATTCTCGATATGGACACGAGACTGAACATGTCCGAACAGACAAGAGTATAACTCCGTATGTAAGTAAAATGAGGGAAAGGGGCCCCTACGAACCTGCTGCTGCCTGTCCTGCCTCCGGTTGCTATTCCTAGCCCGTCAGATTTGCCCTTTTACAAGCCACCGCCTGCACCAGCACAGCCAAAGAGGAACCCAGCACTGCGGCCCCAGTCACATCCCTGCCCCAGACCCAGCCCTTCCTTTTTTTTTTTTAGGATGACATAAAAGACAGCAACGAACAGAACGAACGCAGCGAGAGAGAGTCAGTGAGAGAGAGAAACGAAGGGGGAAAAAATAAAATAACATCTCAGTGTGTCCTTAGAAAAGAAGCAAGGAGACCCGGACCCGAACTCTCTTTTGTGGAATGGTAATTTTGCGGGTTTCATTCTTATCATCTTCCTTCTCATTCTTTGGCTCTCTCTTCATTTTGTTTTTTTGGCGCGAAACATGCTTACTCAGTCCATTCGGACGAGCAGCGTTGAAGGCCGGAATAAAGACGTAACAGCTGGGATGGGATAGACGGAACAGCAACGCAACTCTGGCTCTGGCTGGAGCACCCAGCTGGGATGGGACGGGATCCCAAAGCAGGGAGGAATGGCATCAGGGGGCCCTCCCTCAGAGCTGTGTGGACGAATGGGTAGGAGGAACCAGTGGAGTGAATCCGATTGTTCGCTCTCCAATCTGCCGTGCTCCGTATGTATAAGTACATACACGTAGCGTTGCCCTAAGAGCGTCCCAAGTCAGCATCCACAACCGCATCCACAGCGCTGGTGCAAGGTCGGTCTGTTAAGCGGTCTGTTTACAAGCCCACCTCCCTTGCGCTTTTTTGCAGCAAAGTAAACAAACTGCACGCGAAAGGGAAAAAATAACCCCCTCCGGTCATTGTTGGCGTTGGCTCGGGTACACCGCTCTCAAGCCCTTGCCTTCTTGTCTCTCAACGGAGCATCCGTAGTCAGTCGGCAACTTAGCTTGACTAGCGGAACTCAAGCTCGCGAAGACAAGAAGCTTTTGCCGGACGCAGTATGGAGTAGCGTGCTCAGATATCGGTGAGCGCTCGTCTACAGGGACAATCCCATCTCACTCCTCTCGCTTTTGCCCTCCTCTCCCCTCGGAACGGTTGACGGTAGATCGATCGGACGGGTGGTTGGCGATAGTCTCATGGCCACCCGACGCCTCTTCCTTGACTTCTTTTCTTTTCCTCTCTCTCTTTTGCCAGGTTGCTTTTTCTATTTCTGGGGTCGTGCCGTCGATAGTCAGGCTCGTACCTTTGATCAGACAGGTCGGAGAAAAAATATAAGATGTCTCTCTTCTCATGTTTTTGGCCTGTCTCTGTCCCTGATAGCAAGTAGAACTGAGTTTGCTGCGCTTCTTTCATGACAGCACGCACTCCAGTGCTCCGTAGTATATGTTGACGGGAGCTGAGGCTTTGTCTAAGGGTTAGTGGCTCCGTGGTCGAGGTCAGCAGAAGCCCGCGGCTAGTCCCTCCTTAGATCGCCCAGGCGTGTCTGAACCACTGTGAGGGAGTACAAGTAAACCATAGCGTCAGAGGGAAAAACCCTTAATCTTCATAGACTCTTGCAAATCCCCTTCGACGGTTCCAGCTGCCTCCCCCTCGACCCAGCCACGAGCCTTCTTCTCCCCCCCCCCCTCCTCCCTCCACCTCCCCTCCCCCAAGACAGCAATCCATTTGAACTATATCATTTTCATCGTCAATCAGCAGTATTAGTCCAGTTTCATATCTTTCATTCCCCAGATAGGTCAGCATCATGCAAGCAAGCAATGCAGTGTTGCCATCCATAGACCCGCTTACTCCTGCAGTAGAAAATAACAAAAAAGGTGGCGGTTGTGCCAGGACAGACAGATAGACCACCTCAGATCAAAATGTGAGATAACGTTGACGCGGGATGGGATCGCAGGTCCAGATACCGTCGCATCCAGGTCTTGGACCATGTCGTGGAGAACGGGGCCTGCAGCTGCATGGTCTGGTGTAATGCAATGCCACAGAAATAATGCGCTTGTAGCATGCATTCCAAGTTCGCGGGTGGCGCTTCTCGCTTTACTTTTGGCTGAGCCTGTGTCTGGTCAAAGCAGGTCAGCCCCTTCTACGGCCTTCAAATCCCGTTCGTAATCTCGTCTGTGAGAGGCGTCGACGCGGCTGAGTAACTATAGACGCAGCTCCTCTGTTCCTGAGGCGGTTGGCAAGAAGTAGCACCGCATTACTATCAAAGTGGGATGTACTCTTGTAATCTTCGTCCAAACTTGCTCGCAGCATTGATTGTTCCTCTGGAAACAGAGGGGGGTATCTTCAATGCCACCAAGTAAACAAGAGTCATTGCCCTCGCTGCGCTCTATACCCCGTACTCTGTTCTCTTGTGAATCATGGCTCTGTACGCTGGCTAACCCATCAGCTGGGGAGTATCCAGGGAACGGCAGACAGGATCGAAAGATACCAAGCCATCCAGCTGTGGCACTCAAGGGCCGAAGCAGTGGTCCGTATTAGGACTGTATCAACGGCATGTAACAGTCTATCCAAGAGGCTGGATCTCATCCATATCAAGTCCAATGTCTGTGGTTGTTAGTGTTGTTGTTATTCATGATGTTGTTGTTTGGCGGAAGTTGACGATGTTATTGATTGGCCTAAAAGGTAATATTCAACTTCAGCTTCAAATATTTCGTCAAAACAACCAAATTATGACCCTTCTACGCATGAATCTCACTCTTGACTCGGCACCAACAGGAGCCTCAGCGCGTCTATACCGTCTTCAGGTCACACAGAGCTGTTGTCTTCACAATGGACCGTCTTCCCACTGAACTGCTTCAGCCTATACTCCACCTAGCCAGCGACTGGCCATTGGGCGATGATAGAATGAGTACTTATGCCTGCGTCTGTCGAAGATGACAGGCTATAGCCGAAATGGAGACCTTCAAGTCTATCTACCTACAGGAAAAAGAAATAGACTACTTTGCAGAGCTGGTAGGTCGCGTCAATCCGCGACTTGAGGTACTGCAGAAGGTTCATTGCCGCGTAAATGCCAACAGCAAACTACGCAGAGACATGGGATTTGATTATTACGATACATCGGGTTTTGTTTATTGCGATAGTAAAGACGAAGAGGATGCGCCTTACGATAGTGAAAACGAAGAGGGTGTGCCAGAGAGTGCTATCTTTACCCGAACAATACACGGCCTGTTCGATGTTCTAGGTAGAGGGAACGAAAACACTCGTCGTCCTCTGAGTTTGACTATTGAGGTAGCATACCCGGATGACGCCCTCGAGCCTCCTGGGTATACCGAACGCTTTCTCCGATTTGTGCGAATAGATGGACACCAGAAGACCCTGAAAAGTCTTATGAATGTTGATTCATTCACAATTTCTAATAGTTACCGGGCAGTGCATCCCGCCGCGGCATCCAAAATATTAGAGGCCTTGCCCCGCGTGAGGAGCGTAGATATACCTCTAGAAGAACGCGGGCCCCAGTCTTTCATGGCGGCTCAGTTTCATCTTCCCCATGTCCACGGTATGTCTACTCAGCTGCTCCCTTTATACCAAATACATAGAAGCTAACCAGCCATTTAGCCATTAGCAGCTTGCTAGAAGCGACGACCAGGTTTACCACGTTAGAAAAACTAACGCTCCATAACACCTTACCATATCCATTAGCTGGGATAAATCCGGCCCTGCATAAGCTCTCCCAGTCTGCTCCTCTCATCGCCCTTGAACTTTTCGGAGGCTGGTTCCTCTCACCAGCTCTATTCTGGCCTTCACGGACATCTCGTCCCGCTGCGGAGCCATTCTGGCCCAGTTTACAGTATCTTCATGTCAGCGCAAATCTCAGGTTTCCAGATACAGACTCGGTAATGTACGGTGTTTATTCCTTACATAAAACAGTAAGTGCTGGACTAATGGATCTAGTGGTGGCTGCGACTTTCTCAGGCAGGATGAAGTCCGAAACTATGAAGTATACACTCCCTACGGCTTGATAGATCCCATGGCATTCAGTTACCTCGTTCTTTCAATTTCCCGCGCTACTTTACAAATGCCAGCCCTCCGAGCCTTGGTGGTGGGAATCACTCCGGGAACTAACAATAGATTGTGTCAGAACGATGGGGACCACGCAATCTGGATTGAATGTCTAGGTTCGGGTGAAAAGTCGGTGCTGATGAAATACAAGAGAGAGACTATGGGAGACCAGATGTCGGATGAAGCAAAATCTCAGGTGCATCGGCGATGGAGGGTCTGCCTTGTGCGCGAAGTGTGTTGGTCTCCTTCCCAGGAAATACGAGGGTTGTGGCAGCAGTTTGTTGGACCCGAAGGGATCACGGGCGTGAAGTATGATCCGTACTTGGCGGTTTTTTGATACCACCACGCCTTGCCCGTGCGGAGTGCTCGTTTGAGTCTCCTCCAGCTACCCCGTACTCCATAATCCGCACAGAGTACCTGTACAAAGGCGATAACCCAACAATAAAGTGAAGCAAGCTGCAAACGCTGAGTGCCAATGCTCTCCTTCTTTCACCTCACTTACTAGTGCTGCACCTAAAATGAGCTAATCGGCTGAAAACAAAGGCTGCAGCGCAAGGGGGAAAATACAGGGACACCGTATTCTTTATTTTCACCCATAGAAACTATGTATTACCGCCACTATGGCACCGGCACGGCCATTGCATCGGTGAGCAGCGCAATGCAAAGCCCTTTGCTTGATATCTATTCTCAAAATAATGTTTAGTGCAGCAGCTAAACGGCCACACATTTCACTAGAACGAGTCCCCCAGACGCAAGATAACTAGTTAGCGAACGAGTCATGTGGCCTTTCTTCGTCTTCTTCTCCTTTTGCCAATCTTTCTCCATGGGCTTTCTTCCCTTTCTCTTCCACACGACTGATGGGCGTGTCTGTGTCTAGCGTCCGTGTCTCTTTGACAGAGCATCCGAATGGCTGGCTTCTGCGGTGGCTTATGCTGTGGAGCGTGCGTGGTTGATCGGTTTGTTGATCTACCGTCCTTCTCCTGTCTCCCTGAGCTGCCAGTCTCTCTAGTCATGGCGATATGGACTGGTATGTCTAAGCTGCAGATACCATACAGCCCTCAGCCCCCAGCCCTCAGACAGACATTCTGATAATTACACACGCCATCGTGAAGATACGGACTACGGACGGATGGCTCCGTACATGCTAGTTCCAGTTTGCGACCACCGTGTCTCGCTGTCTGGTGCCTGATAAGACGGATGTGCGGACGGAGGAGTTCGCTTTTCTTTTTTGCGGATGCAAGCCGCCAGGGTGTGATCTGCCCCCGTCTCCTTTCTCGAAGACATCAGAGACGATAGCGAGGGTAAAACCGGCCGACCGACATATTCTGGTTGGCGGTCTCTCTTCCTTCAGCTGTCAACAAAACTGGCTGGACGAATTATGTTTTTCCTTCAGTCCATCCATGGGTGATATCCGCATGGACTTTCTGGTTTGAGGCCAGGTTTGGCTCAATGATATCCCACCCCCTCCCCCCTACGCGTCCACCGGTCGGAGGTCGACGGCTTGAACCAATGCTTTAAAGGCGCGGATTGCAATGGAAGCTGACCGAGACGTCATCGCTGCCTAAAAGCCGAAGTAGCGCGATAGGCGGTCTTGTCTCGGGATTGCGTCTTGCTCCTTGGTCGCGTGTAGGGCGGTTTGATATTATTCAGGGATGCTGAGTGGTGAGATATCTGCAGGCCAGGATATTTTACATTTTACGGGGTATTTAACAGGTTATATTATCCTGAATATGCCGCGTACAGTTGTCTCCATCCATAACTTCCGCTTAAGATGTATACTTGCATGTAAACATGCATGGTGCATATGCAATGCAAACAAACCATCATTAGCCAGCATGTATTTCTCCTGCTGTCCAGTAGGATTCTCATGTGTTTTTTCTTTCTTTATCCTCTTTTGTCTTCTGGTTGATATGTCTATTATTACCCTCTCAACCATTATCCTATCTTGCTTGAAAGTAATTGTTGGTCTCACTGTGGCTTAAAGGCTGCAGCAGTTAATATCTGGCCAAAGTTAAGAAGCTCAGGCTAATAGCGACCAACTCTATAGAGTTCTATGTCCTATGCCACTACTCTCTTCTGCTATAGACTGATGCTATCAATTTGTTAAGGATTAATACCAGATATACCCTATGAGTAGGCTGTTGATACCTGCAAGGAGCCGTAGAAGATATAGATATCCCAGAGCATCAAAGGGATATTGATTGATGCCAGGCGTATTGTCTTACTCTGTGTTACTGCTAGTCTCTCTGTTTCAATGGATATCACAAGATGCTGCTTCACCATGAATAGGATGTCCTCCTATTCAGCTTTGATAGGAGACATCGCATCGCTCGGGGCTTTGGCGACTAAGCAAAGCTAAAGACTTCACTGTCACTCTTTTTCTTCTACTTATTTCTTTCTCAGCTACTCTCTCTTCTTCTTCTTTCTGTTCCATCTTCAAAGCCTGAAGACAGCAGATTCTTCGTTGACAGACCCCGAAGACGTACAAGCTCAAACCCTTCCTTCATCATGGGTAAACACAGCTTCCACTTCAAAAAGAATACCTTCAACTACGACGAGTACAAGCGCAAGTAAGTCAAGGATATCCATCAAGGTTGTAAAAAGACGCAGATATCTAAATTGAACATATTGAAAGGCTTGATCGAGTCGTCCTGCCAGACAAGTAAGCCATCCCTTGCCAGCAGAGCAAGATCCAGGGTATCAAATCTGACATCCAGCGTAGGATTCTGTGCAAGATCTGCGGCAAGATATGCACCGCCAGCAAGTACTCCAAACGCCAGCTCGATGAGCTGCGCAAGGCGATGGCCAGCAACCCCGGCGTCACCGGCCTCACTCGTCCTGGCTTTGCTGGATGCCGTACGTGTATCAGCCACCAGACCGTAGAGCTCACTTGCTGCATCTGCGACAAGACCAAGTCCCTGGAGTACTTCAGCAAGAATCAGCGTTCTCCGCCTGACACAGCGGTATGTTTTCTCCTATTTCTGATATTAACTACCTAGTTACCTCATTGCAGATGCTGATATCAATACATCCAGAGATGCACCAACTGCGTCCAAAGCCACCTTGACGCCGAGCCAATTGCCGAAGTCCTCAGAGATATGGAAGAAGGGGAGGCTCCTTATGATCCTAGTGCCGTAGCTGAGGTATGCCCAGGTATTCCTGTTCGACACCTGCTTAACTGACCATTATTTTAACAGTCAAAACCCGCTGATGCGAATGAGATCGCCCACTTCCAGCACCTCTCTGTCAACGACGAGGCCCGCCCTCGCAAACCCGTCAGCCACCGGAAGGTCGTCAAACCTGGCAACCGGGCTGGCGTCGCCGACTCAGAGGACGACGTATCTTTTGGCGGAGTGTGGGTTGAGCAGCAGGACGAAGGCACCACAACCACCACTGTTCCTGAGGGTGCCAAAGAAGTAGTCGAATTCACTGCCTTCGACAACAAGGGGACCGGACACCCTCGCAAAACCACTGTCGAACCTGCCCTCAAACCCACCATGCCAGAAGAGAAGCCTGCTGTCCCCAGCGCCGTCTGGAATATCACCACCAAGGAGAGACGTGTAGCCACGACACGCAAACGCTCGAATTTTGCAAAGGTTACCGTAAGTAAAGCTTATGCTCCCCCAGCTACGTTAGACATAACGCACAAATGTCTTTCCTTTTGCCTTTCCCGTGAACCCTTGCTGACAGACACGGTATCAGGGTGTCCGTGTCTCCAAGGACGAAGCTCCCACTCAGCGTCTTCCAGAGCCCACTGGACCGACCATCGACTACGACGATGACTCTGATGACGAGTGCGGTATTGAGGCCTGGATCTAGGTCCCCACCGGCTGAAGATCCCGGGTATCATTTATCACTATCCCATACAGCACCAGGACTCAAGTTTGATATCCATATTCCATTTTTTTCATTTTCATATGCGAGCGGCACAGCGAAGTTTGATCTTCACGAGTAACTTACGAAGGAACGAATACAATGAAACCAGCCCGATCAACAACATGCCCTTCAGCTCTTTTCAATTAGCCATAGCCTTAGGTAGTTAGAAATGCGAAACGAAAGATACGGTTGCATTGTTGCATTGTCGTCGGGATACTTTTTTCTTTTCCTTTTTTTATAACTAGGTACCGCTGAAACTTTCGCGGGCCGGGCCTTTTTGCCGAATTACCCGTGCCTTGCGAGAGACGGTTCTAGATCTCCTGGATATGGAGTAAGGAGAATTCAAAATGTAGGAATTTCTACTATTTCCCCTGCACACCGAAGTTTGTCTACGGCAGCTCCCGAATAGGGAAGTCAACATTCTCGCGCACCACCTTCCAGAAATCCGTGACAAACTCGCCACCTTCGTGCAGCAGCTCAAAAAATTCGTCACGCCAGGTAATGCAATCTGACCAATATACCACGAAGTGAGTTACCGGCCTCCTTAAGCCATCCATCCCATCCACGCCTCCACGAGTATTCTCGTCATTGTATGTATATCTGATAAGACTGATGATATCTCCAACCCTTGTGTGAAAGAAGGTGAAATTTTTCAAGGTCTTATAAAGCTTGCACAGCACGAGGTCTTTAAGGGACTGGATTCCATATTTGTCGGCTACCACATATAGCCGAGCGTGTCCGAGAAAGACGGGGGTATAATCCTGATCTGCCGATACGTTGGAGAAGATAGCAAACCTTTCCCTCAATTCCACACAACATTCTGGAAGAGGATAGTCCTTTTCTGAGAAAAGAGGCGTCGCAGCACTGGATGCCTGTTTCTCGATTATTTCGGGTTTGTCCTTGCTCGAAGAAACTAGATGTCCGGAAAATTTGTGCTCGGTGTGTGATTCTATCGGGGAACCGCTAGGCTCAGGCTCTATGGCTGGTATCTCACTATCCCTCATATCATCATCGCTAGCCTGTTGGCAGCTCGGCGGGGAGTAATCGTTCAAGTAACAAAATTCGCAAAATCGAACGAATGTGTCAACATCAACGTCCGCCCAGGTGATAGTTTTAGAGTGCGCTTCAGCCATATTGCCATTGATGAGGGCGTCTAGGGCATGAGACTGCTTCGCTATGGCTGCAGAATGAACCTCAAAGCGAGCCTTATCGGGGCCAATAAAGAACGTATATAGATTCGAGTCGATAAGTCTACAACTATTTATTTAGCTGTCGCCCTTTCGATGATAGATACCTGTGCCAAACTTACCTGCCAAATGGCTTATCCATGACGTGATGTAGCAACGGGTCCTTGACTTTGATTATCTAGAGGGTTTCAAAGCAGGCAAACGGAGAAAAGAGGAAGAGCGCAGTGAAGGCAAAAGAAGAACCGTGAGAGAGCCTTGTAGGGTATGGTATGGTGATCGTGTGAAAGTGGCGAGTGGTTTATGCAGGTTTTCCATCCTTCACCTGGCCAGCCGAGTGAGGAACTGATTAGCTGGTTAGTTGGTTATAACTCAGGTAATTGGGTTGGAATAACAGACAAGAAGTTGCTCTGGACATTATGATTGGTGGTCATTGTCGGATTTCTTTTCCACCCTGACGTTTCTCAAGTCGGTTAACTAGCAATTTGAGATACAACCAATCATGCTCCAGCGGGAGGAGAGTAGGTGTTACTAAACTACAGGTAGGTAACTATTCGGTATATAACTTACTATCGCGAATCATGCAATGATCCAAGAATGATAACAACTATATAAATAGGTGCAATTTTCACAAACGGCGTGATTGAAGTTCAGATTCAAAGTAGAATTAGACTGCCTCCTTAGCAAGGCTGTGTAAACTATATTTACACAGGGGATGGAAGCAAAAGTTGGCCGTCGTCCTTAGTCTTACAAAACCTGTTCCACTCTTGAGACTCCCTTTTTCTTCTTCTTGTCTTTCTTGGAGGTAGGCAGGCTATTAACGTCGGGCGGTACAGGAACCTCCGGCGTGGGATATTCTAACGCCAATTCGGCCACAGGCTCGGGGGCTGGAATTTCGTCAAATGCATTTTCTCCGCCTGGTATACTGACACATTCTACAGACGATTCAATTGGTGCCTCGTCGACTTCTAATGGAGAATCTACTGGATCTTGAGTCTTGCTTTCGGTCACCGCATCAGACTGGAAGTTTTCTTGATGTCCACTTTTGCTTTCTAATAACTGTATCAGCTCGTTGAACCCCAAGCCTATTGAGATTATACCCATACCGAAATTGTCATCTCCAATGAACCGCTTGCAGGTAGCAGATCCTCTCGTGAGAATATCCAGTTGTTTATTCAATTGGTTCCGTTCGGTTTTATTCTCTTCAGACTCGCCCGCGATTTGCGTAACGACAGTATCAGACATCTCAAACACCGCAACCGGAGTAAATATATTGCTCAAGAGTGAGATAAGCTTCCCCTCAATGGCCTCGATTGCCATGTCATCAATGAATCGCTTTAATGCAACCTATTTTTGGCCGGTTAGCGGATGGTTAATTTTCCCTGCAACTGGATGAATCACCTTATAATATGCCATCATACAGTCCAAAGCTTCGATAGAAGCATAACGGCCCATGTCCCGCTCGGTACGCCCAACAAGAGACTCTACTAAACGGTGGAGGTCATTTCGATGACCTAGGTTAACCAATGTGTGAAGGTCCGGAGCCTTGAAGAACTGCCTTATAATCGTGGAATATTCTTCTTTCCGGCGCTCATTTTGAATTTGTTGATAAGTCTCAATGAAGTAGTGATTGTAGGTAATTGGATGCCCCTCTCTGTGTGGTATCAGGAGCTCACTAGTTTTGCTCTGTAGTCCATTTAGGAGCTTCTCCAAAGCAGGCTCAAACACGGTTTGGAACAGGGCTTTGGCTGTTGCAGCATCAGCAACATGGGCAATCGCGAGGCGTAGAAACTCCTTCGCTGCCGTCCAAACCTCATTTACATGGCTCCGAGCAATTTTCTCCCATGGAGCAGATTGCTCGAAGAATAAATCCTTCACAACCATAGAGTTAAAGGTTCCAGATAGCTCTCTGCCCCTGGACATCTTCAAAAGGGACTCTATGTAGTTAAGAAATTCTCCACGCGTGGTATTAATCTGGTGCGGGTTCATCTGGTAGTAGGCTTCATTCTCTGAAATATTGCGGTAGTGGCCATATCGACTGATTTTGTCGGCAAAGTCTTGATTGAGGTTCTGTGCGATGGCGCGCATACGCTTGGGATAACCCACACTCCGATCAATTCCTTCAAAAAAGGGCTCGTTGTACGTTCCATCAACAGCAGCTTTGGCAAGTGACTGAAAAGACTGGCTGATATGGCATAAATAGAGCCGTTGCTCGTGCATGGTCGCCCGTGGCTCACCCAGCTTCTCCAATTTTCCACAGCAGGCCTCGATCTGGACCTTGATTTCATCAACAAGGCTAGGCAGTTCAGTGGCAATCTGTGCAAGAAGGACTTTGCTAAGCCTCCCTCGCAGTCTATCAATTCCCAATATCGACGGGGTGATGTCTTTCCAAATCCCCTGCGAGAAGAAGTGCTCTTCTTCGGCATCGCGATTAGCCAAAGTTGAGATCCCCTTCTCGGAGTCCATATTTTTCAGAACATGCCACCCGAGCCGAAAGCCGACTTCCTGGTTCTTCGCGAGAGAAACGAAGATCGATTCAGTCGGCGACCCAGGGATCAAGGTATCAGGCTTCGTAATGACTCCAAGCGTTCGACGGCCGGACCTGTCGGCTCCGCGAGCGAGCTTCAGCACGATCTGGTTGGCGATATCATTCTTAGCAGATATTACAGCGAGAATGATGCTTCGAGGCTCCCTCATATAGGCTTGGACGACATCCTGAACCAAGTCAACATCGGATGCCGACTGCTGCTTTGTCTCCGAGTGGATGAGACCCGGCAGGTCAACGATAGTGAGGTGAGGACGGTCAGGCCCCGAAATCTCTATTCGAAGAATGTCCTTTGAGAAGGCCTTTCCGTGCGTTGAGATACCCAGGGCCGCCTTGACATTTTCAATCAACTCCGGCAGCGCTTCAAAGCTATCGACGTCTTCTCGAAAGCTTTCGAGTGAACGCTGTTCAGATTCGCTGCGAGACCGGTGAGGAACGATCGACACGCTCACACGAACCTCTGGAGACTTGCGCAACACAAGTTCAATAGGGAACCGAGTGCAGAGATTGCTTTTGACCGGAAAGGCGACGCCAGATATGGCCTCAAGCACCGAGCTTTTGCCGGACGACTGATCGCCGCAGACAATAATCTGCGGGAGCGAAATGTAGTGGCTAATTCCCTGTGAACGGAGAGTGTCGATAGAATTTAGGAGATCCAGCTGGTCTTCCGAGCATAGCCCGTCAAGGGCGCTTGTGGTGAAGTGTTTCATGGCCGTTAATTCTGTTTCAGCGTGGACTATAATTACGGAAACAGATGCTATAACTACACCAAAACCTCTCTGGAGTAAAGGGCAACTCCAGATCATATATAAACACTAGGGCTACGCGGGTTGAATTATGAATATCTTGCTGCAAGGGAATTATCGCGATATTTACGGCCCAAATTCGGGCAATGCATCAACAAAACCTCCTAGTTGAGAGTATTTCATGCAGCTGCTACATGGTGGGCATTGATAGGGTGCCTTGCTCTCGTTTCAAATGCATCTGGCTTACAACGGCTACGGCTTGTTAACTGGGCGCTGCAGCAGGACCGGCGTTGGCCATTACGAATCCCTGTTACGCCCTTCTGCCATACTGCTTTCTGGGACTCACTCTTGGGCTGTGCCTCAGGACCGTGATGATAGTTTCCCAGCATGAGAAATCCTTTGCTCAACCATTTAATCAGTATGTTTATTTATTCATTTATTCATTTATATATGTTGTTTTATTTTATTTTTTAAATTCAGGGCAGGTTAAACCTGTGGCCTTACATAACTACTAATGCTGCCCTCAAAAAAATTGAGGCAAAATTAAACAGAGAGCCTTGAAAGGTTGGTTCCTGATATTCCATATTCCGTAGCGGACAGTGAGAGTAAGGAACTTCTACTCTTCCTTCAACGACGCCGTATCTAGATTGTGGAGCCTAAATCGATAGGAGCAATTAGTTATAGTTAAAGGTAGAGTTAAATTTTAACTAACTAACGACGAAATAACTTTAACTATCGCGGCTATCAGCCGACTAACTTCACGACTCATTAACTACCTAGGCACCTACGTTCTCCATGAATTGCACTACAATTCAATGAGATTTATATTCTTCTTCCGCGTTAGGCTAATGGTCTATAAAACGAACGTCGAGGGCTTGTTATCTCATTCCTCGTCAATCCATCCGTTGATCCGTTGAAAACATCTAATGCGCCGCTTGAGCCACTCTGCCAATACGTGGCGTCGGGACCGAGGTCGAAATATACCCCAAGTTTGTTTCCATCCTGCACCTAGCCGCAGAGCAGCGAAACATTGGGGCTGTTACTGTGACTTGTGGGCTCCGCCATGACTGGAAGAACGGTGCGTGAGAGTTATAGGCTGGGGAACGCACCACTGAGGGTTCGCTCTCGCTGCGGAGGTGAAAACAGCCCTGGTTGCCTGCCTGCAGCATCGCCACAATTTGCACGTCTGGGCGTTCGGAGACACCCCTCAAGGCCTATACATAGGATGTCATGGGATTATCCAAGTCTGGCATGTCTTTAATAATCAAAATGACTGGTGTACCGAGGGCTTGTGGCATCTTAACTTGTGATAGGGCAGTTAACTAAAAGAGCAAGGGAGCCAGGAAATCGATCCTTGACAACCACACTACGTGAGGTCTTAGAAATGGTGTCGGTGACACTTTTTACGTTATGGACTGACTTACTAGGTCGCGATTTTCTAAACATAATATATCCCCTGTAAGTGTCTATCCCCTTTCGTTATGATATATGAATCCAAATCAATATTTCAAGAAATACACGCTTGTCCGGCATTTTCAGCTTCCATAACTAATGAACTTACCCAGTTAGGCCATCACTTGACAAGTGGCTCATACCAACACTGAGTTACCCTTGCTTCATGGCCTGGCTGACATGAGTCCGGGCGCAGTGGAAGCGGCACAGCGCAGTTGGTCGCGCTCAGCCTCGTTGGTTAGGAGAGTGCATAGTCACTCTACATGATGCACGGCTGTTGCAGCGCGGGGTTTGTCGAGCTAGCCAGTCATCTCGTCCTACAAGTTTTCACTGATGTCACATAAGATACAGGCAGCAGCCTGTCCAGGAAAGCAAGTTGACAGTCTGCCTGGTCCTTCTACTTGGAATCAAACCTCAAACTACCACCAGAGTTCATCCTTAGCATAACTAACTGGTTGCCTTCATATAACTAGCTAACAAACTAATACCCAACCACAAAAGCCATGCCCTCTTCAATCAGAGCGACGGAGGAAAAGGCTTCTCGTCGCTCTCCTGATAAACATGGCGGCGCGGCTAGGCCTTCTAGCAAGGTGTCTATCGACGAACTATCATCCGCCTTGAACTCTCTCGCGCTCCCAGACGATGAACAAGAACCTGTCAATCAATTCCACAAGTTTCTCCATAAAAACGCTGATCTAGTCGACTTTGTCGCCAACGTTATCGATCCGTCCGTATCAAACCAGCAAGCCGCTCATATCGACCTAGATGCATATGTCCCACATGTTCAACGGTTTTGTGCAAGATGGCAAGTCTCGAAACGTGCGGAGCAAAATCATCTCAAACTTGCGAATGGCCTCCGAAACATCCCGTGCATTTTACTGCAAAACCCAACCCGAACGCATGATATGGCCTTCGATGATATGGTGGAAAACACCGCAACTCTCCGTTACCTTCAGGATTCTTTGGATGACAACGGGCTCAGTCTGGATGATGTGATTATTCTGGATGCTATTCCTCTTCTCACGGATAGGGATCTATATCGACTCAGTACCGATGAACGCCGAATAGCGCTATTCGAAGCATCCGAGCTCACACGTCGATTCATACGGATAAATAAAGTATCTGTTATTGTCTCCCTGCAGTGTGCGACACAGAATAATGCCAAATATGACGGCATCTCGTCGTTCCTTAGAGAGCTAGGGTCATCTACCAAGTGGGCTCGAATGGAAACGGTTATGAAAACCTCTATAGACGGTCGGGCGCTCTACGTCGTGCAGGGCTTCCACCCTGGGCATATAATTAGGACATACAAGCCGGATCTGAGAATTAAACGAGAACGCATCCTTCAAAACATTCTGGAACAGGTATACAGCCCTTACGCAGAATGGATATCAGAAATGGCCCGGGAAGAATTTTCTAAGAGCAGAAAAAGGCTAGACTGCTCTGCGAATAAATTCCTCAATGATTTAGAGCGAGCTTTGGCAGCTATGCAAAAGCTTGAAGCCTTGCAAACCACAGTGTCGCCTGATATTGTAATCAAGGGCAAAGATACTAGAAAGCAGGTGCTGCGGGTAATGAAACTCATGGACAATGCCCGATCAATATTGGAGGCTAACTAAACCTATGAGCGGCTGTGTGGTCTGAGCCTACCTTCCGCTTTAATATCAGTGTTTTTTTTTTTTTTTTTTTTGGCAGCATCTACACACAGCCCTTTCACCCATCTTCTAATTCTTAATTTGCTACTTTGGCAATGTTTTTGCTTTCTTTTTTATTTTCCCATTTTCCTCTCTCTCTTTCTCTCTCGCTTTACTTTTCTCTTTTCTCTCCTCTTTGATCTTCTCCCCGTCCCCGTCCTTAGGCATCGCCTTGCTAAAATTCCCTAGCCTAGTTTTATAATAAATACGATGGCGTCCATAACTAGCATCGTAGCACCGTACGTGTCTAAATATTACAGGAGATAAATTCTTGGAAGGTTCTACATTAATGATAATATACATTGGTAGTACCAAGCACCGGCTATCGGAGTGGACTGTGTCAATCATCCAATGGCCATGCAGCTTCCCATTCTTTGCGTTGCCCTTCATTTTCAGGATACTTCGACATGAAGTCCTCCTTAGTCAATCGAATGAGCTCCTTCACTTCGTCATACTCCTCGTGGTCAACGGTGCCATCGACTCGGAAGAAATGCGACCCAACAGCCTCCTTGACATCTCCCATGATATTAATACCATTGGTAGCTCCTTCACAGTCACTATCAATAACATTTATTTCATCTGGCGTAAATTCATACGGGAAGCCCTTCTTCATATTGTCCCGTATGCCTGGGACATCTTCCCAGCCCTTGCGGTACTGGTCTGCCAAAATAGCAAGGTATGCCGCTTCCCCGTCAAGGAAGAGGTTGCGGGCAAAGATCAGAAGAGTAAACCTCACTGTTTCGCGGAACTCAAGAGCACGGAAGAGTGGCTCGATTCCCATGTGCAGAGTATGTCTCCAGAGGGAAACCAGTGCCATTTTCCAAAACAGATTGTCTGCTTTTCGTTTTTTCTCCATAGCTGTAAGATCATTATCATGATCAAAGAGCTTTTGAATCTCCTTGAGATCTGGACGTTGGAGGAGGTCTCCGGCCATACGTGGTCCTTGATACTCAAGGAAGTAAGGTTCAATTGTGTGATCATACAACGGCGCAAGTTCAGTCGTCTGCCAGTCGATAATTCCACAGATCTCAGATGGATTCTCCGGGTTAACGAAGATGTTCTCTGCGTGTAAGTCGTTGTGCCACAGGTGTGATGCCCTAATAGACTTGTCATCTGGGAGCGGATGTTCGACAATATCCATGTATGCCTCTAACGCTTTAATT